GCATTGTCAATGGCGTCGACGCCGCCTCACTGGTCGATCACCACCGCGAATAGCCATCGTCAGACCCGTCAACAACCTAACTACAACCACCGTCCATGGCTTTCACAACGTGTCTCTTCCTCTCCTCGTGGTGGTCGCGCCGTGACCTCAGCTTCTCCTTCTTTACCGGCGGCTGTTTCAGTCGCCACTGTAGCTTCCGGTCAACTATCACACCAATCTCGTAATTTCTCTTCTCTACGAACCTCGGAAACGGGTCTTTCCTCGGATTTCTCCGGTCGTTGATCGACCCGATTCGTCTCCAAGATGCATTTCGGGAGACCGAAGACTACTATGTCCACACGACATAGCTCTGCTGCTGACGATGCACTCCAGAGCGCTATTGATTTCTCCGGAGAAGATGAGATGTTTCAGAGTCTAATTTTGAGCTTTGAGTCTAAGCTTCGTGGCTCTGAAGACTGTACCTTTATAATCCGTGAGTTAGGGAATAGAGGTGAGTGTGATAAAGCTCTTGGCTTTTACGAGTTTGCAGTTAAACGAGAGAGGAGAAAGAACGAGCAAGGGAAATTAGCTAGTGCCATGATTAGTACTCTTGGTAGATTAGGCAAAGTAGACATTGCTAAGAATGTTTTCGAGACTGCTTTAGCTGGTGGGTATGGAAACACTGTTTACGCCTTCTCGGCTTTGATTAGCGCTTATGGTAGAAGTGGACTCTATGAGGAAGCTATTAGTGTCTTTAACTCTATGAAAAACTATGGCTTGAGGCCGAATTTGGTTACCTATAATGCTGTGATTGACGCGTGTGGTAAAGGCGGGATGGAGTTTAAGCAAGTAGCTGAGTTTTTCGATGAAATGCAGAGGAATGGTGTGCAGCCAGATAGAATAACTTTCAACTCTTTGCTTGCTGTTTGTAGTAGAGGAGGGTTGTGGGAAGCAGCAAGGAATCTGTTTGATGAGATGCTGAATAGAAGGATTGAGCAAGATGTCTTTAGTTATAATACGCTTTTGGATGCGATCTGCAAAGGCGGACAGATGGATCTTGCTTTCGAAATCCTGGCTCAGATGCCCGCAAAGAGAATCATGCCTAATGTTGTGAGTTATAGCACTGTCATTGATGGGTTTGCAAAGGCAGGAAGATTCGATGAAGCCCTTAACTTGTTTGATGAGATGAGATATCTCGGTATTGCATTGGATAGAGTTTCTTACAATACGCTGCTTTCGATATACACTAAGCTCGGTAGATCTGAAGAAGCTTTGGATATATTTAGAGAAATGGCGTATGCTGGGATTAAGAATGATGTTGTGACTTATAATGCTCTTCTTGGAGGATATGGGAAACAACGAAAATATGATGAAGTGAAAAACATTTTCGCTGAGATGAAGCGAGAGCACGTGTCGCCTAATTTACTGACTTTTTCTACCTTAATCGATGTGTACTCGAAAGGGGGTTTATATAAAGAGGCAATGGAGATATTTAGGGAGTTTAAGAGCGTTGGATTAAGAGCTGATGTTGTTTTGTACAGTGCATTGATTGATGCACTGTGTAAGAATGGTTTGGTGGGTTCTGCTGTTTCTTTGATCGATGAGATGACAAAGGAAGGAATTAGTCCTAACGTTGTAACTTACAATTCTATAATCGATGCCTTTGGTCGTTCTGCAACTATGGAGTCCTTAGCTGACTTTAGAGATAGAGAAGCTAGTAGTTTAGAAGTTGGATCTTCCTCTTTTCCTTCTTCTTCGCTAAGGGAATTGACTGAAACAGAAGGTAATCGGGTAATACAGATATTTGGGCAACTAACCATTGAGAGTAGTAACAAAATGAAGAAAGATTGTAAGGAGGGTATGCATGAGCTCTCCTGTATATTGGAAGTTTTCCGCAAAATGCATCAGCTGGAAATAAAACCAAATGTAGTAACCTTTTCCGCGATTCTCAACGCTTGCAGGTTTGTCCCTCTTTTGGATCTCTTCTTGAAGTTAGCGAGTGAAACAATGATTATGGTCATCATAAAATGGCTACATTTTGGTGAGGATTCTTATTTTGTAATTATGTTTGTATCGATGTAGCCGGTGTAACTCGTTTGAAGATGCATCAATGCTGCTAGAGGAGCTCAGGCTGTTTGATAATCAGGTATATGGTGTTGTTCATGGACTTCTCATGGGCCATAGAGAGAACGTGTGGCTTCAGGCTCAGAGCTTATTTGATAAAGTAAAGGAAATGGATGGTTCGACTGCTTCTGCCTTCTACAATGCTCTTACCGACATGCTTTGGCACTTTGATCAGGTAAACTCACACTGATATTGTAGAGGCCAAGTTCTTTATGTGGCTTACTTTTGGAAACCTTATTGTTTTATAGAAACGAGGTGCACAACTAGTAGCGCTTGAGGGAAGATCTAGACAAGTCTGGAAGAACGTGTGGTCTGATTCGTGCTTAGACCTGCACCTCATGTCTTCTGGTGCTGCCCGCTCAATGGTCCATGCTTGGTTGCTAAACATACGCTCCATTGTCTACGAAGGTCATGAGTTACCTAAACTCTTGAGGTAAATAAGCTACAAAGAGCTCTTCCGTTTAACTACCAACTTAACTCAGGCCCAAAACCCCAACACTAAACGGTTTCTCCCTGAAACTCCCTTATAGCTCAAGAACTTAGATCCAATCTCATGTACCAAGCCAAAACTCGATGCTATGTTTTCTTGTGATAACTAATGAACTCACATTAGGATTACAGTGACTTTGGAGACGCGGTTTGGTCTTGTCTCGGATCCTTAACTCTATCCAAGTCCTAATGTGTTATGTTTTTTTTTTGTGCAGCATATTGACTGGTTGGGGTAAACACAGCAAAGTGGTTGGAGATGGAGCGCTAAGGCGAGCAGTAGAAGCGCTTTTGAGGGGAATGGACGCACCCTTTCACCTATCGAAATGCAACATGGGACGGTTCACATCGAGTGGTTCGGTTGTTTCAACTTGGCTGCGCGAAGCAGCCACATTCAAACTGCTAATCCTCCATGATCACATAACAACCAAAGCTACTACAACAATGAGATCAAGAGACCAATATGATGATGAACAAACCTCTCTCACTTTGCAGCCTCTTCCTTTGTAGCTGTAATGTGTGTCATGTAAACAATTTATGAACCATCAAGTCTTTTTGTTTTGTTCTTTAATAATGTTGGGATCTTTGCTAATAATATTTTGTAACAAAATAATTATGTGAAAGATGGTTTTTTCATATAAACAAGATAAATTATTAATCAAATTTGGTTTTTTCTCTTTACTGTTATTTGAGTCTTGCACTCTTGTGTAATTTTAGTAAATATATATGAAACTCACTAATGGAAACTAAATATATATTAAACCTCTGCACATATGGGCCATTTGTTATCATTTTGATGGTTTTGAAAACCTAACAGAGGAATCCACAGGTTTGCTAATTTAAATCTTCTATTAATAAGAAAATACTATTAAAATAATTCAATTTGTCAAGACCGACGAACCAGTGACGCTTCACTTAATTAT